TTCATTTTGCTAATTTTCTTTCATCTCTGACACTTCTATTACAGAGAAAGGGTGAATAGTAATATTAAAATATTTCTTCTAATTAATTTCCTTTCAATGTGCACAAATCTGTGCACTGGGCCACTAGTAGAGATAACAATAGAATCTATTCTATAGGATTCTTAGGATGAATAATTCTGTAAAGTGCTTATAACTGTGGTGGGAGAGATTAAATACGATATATGTGACTTAGAAAATAAATCTATTCATCCATTTGCTGCACAAATATATGTTGTCGATGTGCCAGACATTGATTTGGGGTCATGGAATCCATCAGAGAACAAGTTAGGTGAAGTCCCTTCCTCACAGAACTTCCATTGTAGGAGGAGAAACATACAGCAGACAGATTAATATATGCTATAATCAGGTAGATTGTGTTCCTAAGAAAAATAAAGCCGGTTAAGCCCTAGCCGGTTTGGCTCAGTGGATAGAGCACTGGCCCGAGGACTGAAGGGTCCTGAGTTTGATTATGATCGAGGACGCTGGCCCTGGTCAGATGTGCGGGAGGCCACCAAGAGACACCTTGGGCATTTCTCTCTGTCTCTCCCCTCCCCCCCACTCTCTCTAAAATCAATGGGAAAATATCCTCAGGTGAGGATTAACAAAAACAAACGAACAAATAAAGCCGGTTAAAAGGATAAACGATGATGTGGTGGGTCTGGAACTGCTCTATACAGGATGGAGTGTAGGCTCCTGATAAGTTTGTATGAGGCCCGAAGAAGGAAGGAGCATGAGCCTTGGGCCCAGGGAAGGAGAGGATGGTGTCTGTGATCGGATTTGCATTTAAATAAAGAGCCTGTTCGGAGATGAGCAACTGAGAACCTCCAACAAGTTGCGTCAGGTTGGGTACTAGTCACAAAATTAACCATGAAATACAGCACCAGAGTAAAAGCCAGTTTCTATTTTTTAACTTTCGGAAAGTAGCCTCGTAAAAACGAGGCCTCAAAAAATTGAGTGAAAACTCATAACTGTTCCTCTCCACGGAAATCTTTAGTAAAAGGCGAAAGATTTATGCGATCTGAAGAGAAACCAGAGTATGCCCGCTGACCGCCGCCCGGAAGGCTTAGAGCAGGCTCACCCCCAGCTCAGTTACGGTGGCCGAGTGCCCGCGGGCCCGCGCCCCGCCCGGCGTTTGCAGAGACCCTGCCTTTCTCACAGCGGCGTGCCCGGCGGCAGCGGGAGTGACCGGGGG